ATCTAGGAATCTAGAAATCTAAGCACCATATAGATGAATGAGCTGATTGGTTCTCTTCTTACTCATTAGATTGGAATGAAAGAAAGAGAAAAAGAAGAGGGCTACATCATAAAGAAGAACATTTCTCTCAATAGCATCACTAAAAAAAGAGGAGGAATACATCACTGAAGAAAAAGAAACTGCCGTAATTTTTAAAGCTTTTGAAGAATAGGAAAGGCATTGCTAGGAAACCTCTATAAGAGTCCATATTCTTTGAATGCAAGAAGGAAGGGAACATCAGGTCAAAATGCCCTATGTTAAAGAGAAGATTTAGAGGGAAGAAAAAGCCAATGAAGGCCACATGGGATGATATAAGCTCATGTGATGAAGAAGAATCCGATGTTAAACAAGCTAACTTCTGTCTATTAGCAGATGATGAGGATGAGGTAATTAAGTCAAGACTCTACTTGTAATTTTATCAAGGAAAAATTGTTAGATACTTTAGAAGAATTTTATGAAGAAATCAAGAGGCAAAGTCTAAAAAACGAAGAGCTTAGGAAAGTAGTGAAGAAAAATATTATACAAGCTAGTAATTTGAAGGGTCATATTAACACTCTTCCTCACTCTCAAGATTAACAAATGAGAATAAGGAAATAAGAGAGGAAAATGAAAGGCTAAATAATATTGTCCAAAACTTGAGGACAGAAAGAAGATCTTTTGAAGATCACTAGTAGAAATAAAAGCCCTACCAAATTATAGGAAAATAAAAAAATGATAAATAAAAAGAGTGGAGTAGGTTACAAATATACTTACAACAATAGATCTCATAAAAGAAAGTTAGTGAAAGCCTTAAATTATGATCGAGCTAAACATCTTTATAAATTTTGTTGTAGACATGGTCATATAACTTATCACTGTTATCATAGAAGAGATCCAGAGGATCCAACTATTAAATGGGTTTAAAACGATAGACTAACCATCAGGCCCATTGGCTTTTTGGTAAGTTACTTACCCGGGTAAATGCAATTACCTGGGTAAGTTTTTCCTGGGAAACACTTACCCAAGTAAGTGTATTTACCCATGTTCTTTTGTTTCTCAGGCAAATAAGGCAATGGCCATTTTAACCATAGAAATTCATTATTAAAAGGGACATTTTTGTCCCATTTAAGTGTTGGCAAGTTTCTCCCTATGTGGGAAAGTTATTTACCCACCTAGGAGATGAGTATCACTTTTCTGGGTATGTGATACTCAGGAAAGTAAACTTTCCTGGTCCCCACATAAAGCTGAAAAAAAAACATGGGATTCTTGGTCAATTGGAACCAAAATCCCATTGATCAACTTTCTCCCCTCTCCGAATCCAAAAAAAAGAATGCCCCCTAAAGGATCCAACTATTATATGTTGAATAGTGAGAGTTACTTAAGTAGGATCTGCTAAAAAATAATCGGCTATCACATGTAGTCGACTATTGAAAACAAGTATTCAACTACCACTAAGGAAGTAGTGACTACTAGAAGCTATTAGTCGGATACTAATTTGAGGATTAGGGGGATATTTGATAAAAAATTTAACACATATGAATAGTTTCTCGCACATCACAAGTGAATAAGAACCTCAACAACCACTCCAAACACCTCAACTTGATCATCCAATTCAATGGAATTCATCCTAAGCAAAAGAAAAAAACAAAAGTGAAGACTCAAGAAGTCGACCAAATGCATTGTTCTTGAATCAAGATGTAGAAGAGAGATACCAAGATTTGATTTCAAAAAGAAAATACTTGGAAGAAAGCATTAGATTTTGAGATTTTAAAGTTAGAAGGATTTAATATTGAGACTTCGGATGGAATAGGTTGCTTAGATTTAAGAAACCCATCTACAACACATTAGTTAGGTATTTCTTTGCTAATCTTTCCTTTGATCCAAAAGAAAACAAAGACCATGAGGGTTATGCACATAGTAGTGGTTAAAGTAATTTTTCCAAAACAAGGATCTCTCAATCATATCTCTGGCATGGAGTTACTATTGCTATATTGTATTAAGACCGCTAGGCCTATCAACCTACCCGATGCCATTATGTGTCGCATGTCAGAAGTTGCTATGAGTAGGAGTGATCATTCTTGGCCCGGCCTAGCTTCTAAAATTCCGTGCCTGGGCCCAGGGTTTTGTGTACAAGCCCAGCCTGGCCCAGGCCCACATCAAACCCAAAAAATTCCAGGTCGGGCTTGGACCCAACACTTCAAGCCCAGCCTAGGCTTGGCCCGGCATTTTGACACATGTGTGAACACTTAAACCAACTCAAGTATATGAATTGCCCTCCAAACACAGCCTAAAGGCCTTCAATTTTATTGCCTAAGCAATGTGGGACATGGAAAAACATTCAATGGTAACATTCACTATTTAGTGTTGCTCCAAGTCCCACATTGTTTAAGAATGACACCCATGCCTTTTTCTTCTGCATAGGCCTAAAGCTTGGCCAAGCCCTATTTAACTTGGGTTTGTGCCATATTTTCTTGCATGTATTACATGCTATTTAACTAAAACAAAAAAAAAATTAAATAGTTAAATTCTTATTATTGAATGTCATAGGCCCAAGCTCACTTCTCATTAGGCCTGGAAAGCTCATAAGCTTGGTCCGCCTGTATAGGGTTGGGCTTGGGCAGTTGGGCTTGCAATCTAGGCCTGGGGTGTGGGCCGGGCTGGGCCTGGCCCTAGGTTAAAACCCTTATCATTGGTGCTAAACCCAGCCTGGCCCGACCCATGATCACCCCTAACTATAAGTAGTACAAGCTTTCTATCCTATGGAATAATCTTAGCCGAACTATTCACCTTGCTTAGGGTTAATATGAAAAGTGAAGCTTGGGGTTAATATGAAAAGTGAATCGAAAGTGGGTATTGAAAACTGCAAAATCATCAACACATGAACCCTTAAAAATATGAATTTGCATAAGATAAAGGAGGGAATCTAGGTCAAGACAAAAGGTAAAAGCATGGTTTTTAAAATCGAAYCGGTGACTGAACTGGTCAGGGGTCTGGTTACCAGTTCGAACAGTCTGACCGTTCGATCCGAACAGTCGGTTTGTTCTGACAAAAAATAAAAAGATTAAAAAAAATTGAAAAACGGTTACAACCATTCGAACGAATAACCGACCGGTTCAACGGTTCACTGACCAAAATCAATGATTTTGGGGAAAAAAGCAATTTTGGGGGAAAATAGAGATGACCAGTTCCCGATTTTTTTTGTCCGACCGTCCGGTCCAATCTGGTTTTGAAACCATGGGTAAAAGTAAGGGTGCTAAAGAAAAAGAGGAAAATGGCAATCCCACATGCGTGGAAGAGCATGATAACCTATTCGAGGACCTCACTGATTTCTGGGGAGACCATATGTCATTCTTTTCGGATGCTTTAARTGTCCCTCGCAACAAAGGAGTTTAATGGATTGATTGTAATAATTTCTTACTCACCTGTTTGTAACTTTTGGTATTTGTGCTTTTACTCATGATTTTAACTTTTTATAATGGCTATAGGTGGAAGTTTAAGCCAAGCCAAACCTTGGATCCTTTTGAAGCAGTGTATGGCAGTTTGGGAACCTCTATCTTTTGCAAAAGCTCAGCATTTGTTTTCAATGACAAGAGTTTGGATTCTAACTTTTAATGGATGGGTGTAATGGAGATTCAGAGGGCATCAGCTGACATTTTTTTGGTGGGGCCAGATCTGTTTTCCATAAAGTGCTCCTCACACCGACCTCGCAACATGTTCCAGTCATACAGTAGGAATATCTCCTGTATTTAAGGCTGTTTTGGTTGCAATATAAATAAATTTGTATTGATGCAAAACCATGGCAATGCAAAGGATTTGAGTGTAAATTCTGACCCAATTTTATTTTAAATTTTAGTTTATTTTATTTTATTACAGTACAAATGAAGTAAATTAAGACATAAAGTAGAATAAAGTAAAAGTCTAAAATAAAATTAAACAATAACTTGCATTTTTTACATTTGCACTCCTACGCATTTATACTAATGCAAATAAATTTTCACTGCAATCAAACACAGCCTTTCCAATACAAGATGGGATGTGGCTGTGATGTCAGTGTGAGGAGAAGATCCCAATTCTTTTCTGGTTTAAGTTGATAAAATAATTGTTAATTTAACTCAAAACTTCAGAGTTCAGACTTCAGTTATCCTAACAGCATGTACTCACATTGTAGCTCAAGGCAAGGAGTTTAGAGTAAGAGTTTATAGTTAGGTCAATCTGGTGGGATACCCCAAGATGGTTGGAACCTTTCATTTGTATTTATTAGAATTCTCTAAAAAGAAGCATAAAAATGTTCAAAATACCCATGCAGTTACTAGTGAGACTAGTTTCTATAGAAAGAATGATACAAATTTTATGAAAAAAAAAAGGAATTTAAAATTGTAGCTTTACCTTTGAGCAGTTGGTATGAACAACAAATTTGAAAAATAAATCAATCTCATAAAAGAGATCAGAAGGGTTTCGGGTAGCAATTCATATATATAAAAAACCTTGGAACATAAACATTTTAACCAAAGCAACTGTATAGTTATTTTAGACATTTTGACCAAAATAACTGTATAGGTATTTTAGAATTCTAATAGAAGGGGTCTATTTACAAGTATGTCTCAGACTCTTAAGAGAGGTGATTGCAATTACCAAATTTTAGAGAAGGTTTCAAAAATTTACTCTTAAAAAAATTAGAAAAAAAAAAAACAAAGCTAAACTAATCCTGTACCGTACCATACGCTAATTAATAACTAATAAACTACTAATTACGTATCAGGAGAGCGCTATTCAGAGATGGAGATGAAACATAGAGAGAAGTAGAGAACAAACGTGCTATTTTAGAATTCTAATAGCACGCCTCACGCTGACCTCACAGCCACATCTCACCCAAACATCTCCCAAGTCCCAATGAATAATATATGTTCCCTCTGTGAGATCGGTGTGAGGCGCGCTGAGTGAAGAGCAGATTCGGACTACCAAGAAAGTGAGCGAAGACATACCATCGAATAGAACGGGAAGCTGGAAAAGCATCCCAACCTTACGGCGAAGGGTCAGTACATCAAGATCGCAGATGTCTCGGCCGTCCAGCAACACAGTTCCGGCCGGTGGCTCCCACAAGCGATTCAGAGCTCTCAGGAGCGTGGACTTGCCGCTCCCGCTCGGTCCAATGATCCCTACGATCACACCCTTTGGAATGTCAACGCTCACCCCGTTGAGTATCGGAACTCCTGTGTCCGATACCCTGGTCAGCCCCCGTACTTGAATTTTGGACTTCGTTTCGGGTTCAATGACATCAACCCCGTTCAGCATCGGAATTCTCGTCTCATCTGTGTAGACGTATTAGATTGAAAGAGAGGGAGAGAAAGGTGAGAGTGGAATTTCGATTCTAAGAAGAGATGAAAATTTGAAAAAGAATTTCAGATGGGGTTGTGAATTAACTACCTGGGGTGGTCTCCATTGATGGAGTTCGAAGTTGCAGAGAGCCTTAATTTGGAAGATTATGCACTGAGAAGAATGGAAATGGGAGAGAACTTTGATAGATAAAGGTGTTGTGGGGATGTGAGTTGTCCCTCCACCAGAAAGGCCAACTCCCGAATGTCACCGGTTTATAGAATTTCTCAGCATTCTTAACTTTATGTCATACTCAAGAAAAAAGGGAAAAACCAACATTGCTTAAAGTATTTCAAGTGGTGCTCATGGAAAAGACTAACAGGCCCTCTGCCCCTTTTCATTACGAACTAGACTAGTACAGATTATATAATATCTAAATAATGAAGCAAAATAAGATTATAATTTATTATTAATTCAATCGTTTATTGTTAATAATGAGGGTGGGGGACCCACTCTGGTTTGATAACTGGATCTTCAATAAACTCTTAAACAATGTGGGAATCTTCCTTTGACCATGTCAGGTTATGCTAAGTAGGAGTAGAAAAATAATCAAGACATGAAGGCTATTTGGATGTGGTGGAAACAGTACAAAATGACTATAGAGGTTAGGGTTTTGAGATTAGTGGCACATGACAAGACTGGGATGCTTCATTTTGGTTGCCATTCTATGCATATAGGGTTTTGAGATTAGTGTTATAACAAAATAAGTGTTTTATACTGTGGTAAAATGAGTAGCCTGAATCACGTGTGGTTGAGAAATTAAGTGGTGTTTTGTAGTGTGATTGAGAAATTAGGTGTTTTGTAGTGTGGTTGAGAAATTAGGTGGTGTTATATACTATGCTATAACAAAATAGGCGTTCTACACTATGGTAAAAAATGGGTAACCTGAACCACACTACACCACATACACATTGTGTAGGGTGTGGTGTGGTTTAGGCCACAYCGCCTGTTTTGGTTTCATGTATCTCAATACACAATATGAGATATAATCTACATTTTTTATCAATGATAATAGTTTTTTTGCTTTTTTAAGAAAGATACAATTAATTTAACATGTGGTCCATTTTTAACCATGACTACGAATTAATAAAAAAATTATTGGCTGAATTGAAAATATTTTAATAATAATTTAAAAATTAAAAGGAATATGAAAATGATGTAGGCGCACATGGTCTCGCCCTATGGCGGGCCTGCACATGTTAGGCGACACGGTTTAGAGTGGACCCAATAAGGGCATGCGAGGAACAGAGCTCGGCGGGCTTTCCAGAACCAATAGCGTGGAGTCACCTAGCGGCCTCGGATGGCCGTGCTCCCCACATACAGACCACATCTAGACTGTCCGAGCTCACCTACCTCCAAGCAATATCAAGTATAAATAGGAGGTGACCCCCTCAAGGTAAGGGATTGGAACTTGAACTCAAGAACAAGCACTTGAGAACTCTTTCTCCTTCGTGGCCTCGTCTAAGTGTTCACACCTCAGGCCTCGCCCACCTTATACACCTCCTACTACTAACTTGACTGTCGGAGTCTCCACCTCGGGTACTCACCTAGGGCCTCTGATGTTCTCTTCCTTGTAGGACCGACCTACTAGTCCTCAGCCTCTCCAGACCTCGGGCCTCACCGCTCCTCGGCACCTCGGCTTGGGAGTAAATTGATAGTGTTGCCCTCAACCCATTTTGACTAGCAACAATTGGCGCCATCTGTGGGAACGTCGGGGCCACCTACCAACGCCTCGTCAACGAGGTCTTCAAGCACCAGATGGGAAGGAACGTTGAAGCCTACATGGATGATATGGTGGTGAAGAGCCTAAAAGCCAACCAACATACCTCGGACTTAGCCGAGACCTTCGACACCTTGCAGAAATTCAACATGAAGCTCAACCCAAGCAAGTGTGCCTTCAGCGTCACCTCAGGCAAGTTCTTAGACTTCGTCATCACGCAATGAGGTATAGAGGCCAACCCTAAGAAGATCCGAGCTATCTTGGATATGGCACCACCTCGGTCGATCAAGGAAACCCAAAGACTTACCGGTCGAGTGGCTGCCCTCAGTCGCTTCATGTTGAAGCCGGTTGACCGGTGCCTGCCCTTCTTCCGAACCATCAAGAAACTGAAGAACTTCTAATGGATAGAAGAGTGTCAACACGCCTTCAAAGAGTTGAAGTCCTACCTCGCCTCCCCTCCCCTCTTCACTCGACCACTCCCAAGAGACATGTTGTATTTGTATCTCTCAACCGGGGACGAGGCTATCAACTCGGTACTAATCAGAGAAGATGGAGTGCAGAGACCAATCTACTACGTTAGCATGGTTCTCTGCGGCACCGAGACCAGATATCCCAAGGTAGAAAAGCTAGCCTTCGCTTGGGTGGTCTCGGCTAGGAAGCTCAAGTCGTACTTTCAAGCCCACACCATTAGGGCATTACGGTCCTGACCAACCAACCCCTTAAAGTCGTCCTTGCAAAACCTGAGGCCTCGGGACGACTAATCAAGTGGGCCGTCGAGCTATCCGAGTTTGATTTACAATACTAGCTGAGGCCCGCAATCAAAGTACAAGCCCTAGCCGACTTTATGGTAGAATGCACCTTCAACTGAGCCGCTAGTTGAACCCCAAAAGTAGAAGAGGAAGAAAGGCCTCGGACGGCGGAGGAAGCTTGGCCTACCTGGAAGCTGTTTGTTGATGGATCATACAACTCCAAGGGAAGTGGAGACAGCTTCGTACTCCTCACCCCAGACAACACTGAAGTAGAGTACACGTTGAGGTTTGACTTCTCGACATCCAACAACGAAACAGAGTATGAAGCCCTCTTCACTGGACTATAGCTCGCGAAGGACCTCGGCTCCTATCACATTGAGGCCTTCATCTATTCCCAACTGGTGGTGAACTAAGTCAATAGTGAGTATGAGGCTAAGGAGCAAAGCATGACCAAATACCTCACCAAGGTGAAAGAACTAGCCTACCACTTCCAACACTTCTCCCTGCAACAAGTTCTGCGGTCTGAAAACATGAGAGCCGACACTCTATCCAAGTTGGTGAGCACCTTGGGCGGAGCCCTCAGCCGCACTATTCACATGAAAAATTAGCTTGGCCCTCCATTGAAGAAGCCTAATTCCTTCTGGTATAGGCCGAGCCATCGTGGATGGATCCTATTGTTGCCTTCCTCATGACTGAATAGCTAACTAATGACAGAAACAAGCGCAGACAAATCCAACGTCATGCCACACACTGCACTTTACATGAAGGGAAGTTGTACCGAAGATCATTCACCTTGACCTACCTCCGATGCCTCCATCAAGAGGAGGGCAAATACGTGCTCTGAGAGATTCATGAAGGCATATGCGGCAACCACCTCAGAGGTAGAGCTTTGGCCCAAAAAGCACTAAGGCAAGGGTACTTCTGGCCAACAATTTAGAAGGATGCAGTCGAGGTGGTACAAAAATGCGATTGGTGCCAGAAACACTCCAACATCTCCCATTGACCAGCCACAACCTTATCGGCCCTTAGCAGCCCTTGGCCCTTCGCCAAATGGGGCATGGATCTCCTCAACCCCTTCCCTCAAACCATGGAAAACAAAAAATACCTCGTTGTCGCTATCGACTACTTCAACAAATGGGTTAAAGCTGAACCCTTGGCTACCATCACGGCCAAAATGATACAAAATTTCTTCTGGAAGAATATCATATGCTGCTTCAGCTTCCCCCACATGGTAAGCCAGGTTGCCCGAGGTATTACACTCTTCGCCCCAGTCTTTGGCGGCAGCAAGCCACCTCGACTTCACAACAGTTAGCGTGACAAAGGTCATGTGGTACGCAACCCTGAGCACCTCGGGGGTTCACCTCGACCTCGCCTAACCAATCCCTAGGGGGATAGAGCGGGCCAGGAATGCCGAGGAAACTCCCCTTCCCTTGTGAGCAACTAAGTGACGAGCCACCCCGAACTTTAGGTTTTTTCTACTTGTGACCTCTCGGAAGGAGACACCGACCCTTGAAACAAAAAAAAAAAAGAGAGAGAAGAAAGAAGAAACAAGATCAAATAATAAAGGCACAAGATATGCAAAAAGCAATGCTTCATTATATTCATTTTCAGCCCTTACAAAATAAAAGGCCTCGAATGGAAGGACCGGGGACCTCTTACAAAAAGATGAACAAAAAAGGAAAAAAAAAAGAAGAGCAAGCCGTCTACACATCACCCCCAACGGAAGGGGCAGCTGAGTCCTCAGCAGCAGTAGTGTCGGCGGGGACCTCGGAACAGACCTCGGGGGAAAGGGTATCGATGTTCGGGAGCACCTTTAGCTCATCCACCTGGAAGTTTGGCATCAGCCTCAGCAACTCCTCTTTTGTGTCTTCRATCCCTTCTAAGTAGGCTTCATTCGCGTAGTCGGCAAGGCATTTTTTGTATTCCTTCGTCGTCTTCCAAACGAGGACGGTATCTCTGAAGTCCACCTTGGCCTCTGCTGCTCGTGCCTCGGCCTCTTCAGCCCGCTTCTGGGCCTCCAACGCGATCCCGTCAAGACGAGCATGCTCGAGCTCGGACTTCTTTAGTTGTTCCTGAAGCCCAACTATCCAAGCCTTCTCCACCTTCAGGTCATCCTCCAACATCTGCCAGAGTTGCTTCACCTCTCCCAAGGCTAAGAGGGTCTCATCCCGGCTACTCTCAGCCAAAGCCACCCGCACTGCAAGCTGTTCATTCTTCTCCGCAGCCCGATCTAGGCGATCGAAGAGGAGCCCAACTCGATCCCCCAGGCCAACATAATGTCGGCACGCCTGCAACAAACATGTCTCCATCAGCAAAGTTAACAAAAACAATGAGAAGATGAACAATGAAGCAAAAGTTAATCAAAACTCACCTTGAACAAAAAGTCCAGGCCCTATTCCCGGACAACGAGAGGGTTGTCGTTCATCATGGCGAGACGATCACCCTGAGGGATCATCTCCTTTATTAGAGCTTGGATGACCCCCTCACCATCGATGGAGTTCCCCTCTCAGACGTTCCACCGAGGGCAGAACACTCGCTTGGAGACGAGCTCACCCTCCTCTGCAAGCTCCAACGCAGGATGGGGAGTGGATGAGGGCCCAATCGCAGGCCTCTTTGCTGAAGGCCTCCTTTGAGCAGCTACAGCCTTGCCTCCCCTCCTACCGCCCTCGGCTGGGCAGTCCTTGTGTGCCAATATCTTCCCCGAAGGGGGATGAGATGCCTTGGCCGGCCTCTTCTGGCCAATCTCCCATTGCC